AAAAACAAATCTTGTCCCTAATCATTTTTATCATACCACTGCCCCAATCAAAATTTATCTTCAACTGCTTTTGATTTTTCAATAAACTCAATAACACGACGACAATGGACTAGTAACAGTATTATAAGCTGAGTTGACGTAAATAAGTAAATATAAACATAATTGCATGAGTACGTACATCTGTACTGGTGAGATCAAGGCCTGCTACAACACCCTTGATGATATTGTGGTTCTTTGCAAGTTCCATTACCCATTCTTTAAATAAAACGAAAATAAAATTAAGTTTTCAATGTCGATCTATAAACTTTTCATTCCTTCCCGTTTGGTGGATATACAAAACATCAACGATACCAAGCTTATAATTGTGATTGCCAGACGCGCAAATGCATGCTTGAAGGGACATCTTTCAACTACATTGAGGACCACAATATTTTAATACGTTTTAATGTATAATCAAAATATGAAGTCTGCGTCATAGAAGTCCAACACACTGCGCTTGATACATGTATTGGACGCACATGCATTTACGGTATTAGTCAGCAACGAGACAATGCCCAGCTATCTGCCAAGACTTCTTATTGCGAACCAAATGATACTTTTCAACAGATTCACTTGAAAGTTACATCCCAGCTCCTTTGTTCTACCAGGGTTGATCTGAGCCGGATCATCCCTACCAGATCACCCTAGCTTGAGTTTCTTTGTTTTGCATGCTTTCCTTTGTTTTGTAACATTTTGGCGGGAATGCCTAATTCACAATAAAACTTGGAATTATTTATTGAGAAAAGACACACTTTCAAACTTTATGTAGAAAAAATCCATTGTCTATGCTGGGATTCGAACTCAAGACCTTTAGCATATCAACCCACGACACATACCCCTAGACCAGGACGACTGCATACCAACTCTCAGTAATTTAACATATTTAAAAGAAGCAAGATATTTTCATAAGTGGGGCTAGTTGGCAGACCTTTATTCAGTGGGATTTTAATCCTTTTCATAAATAAGGCGAGTTGTCAGACTGATTGTTCAATGGGATTTTACCGTTATTCATAAGTGGGGTGAGTTGTTAAACAAGAGTGGGGCGATTTTTTAGAAACTGGCGATTAAGTGTGGGCCGATTTGCCAGTGGGGCGAGTTGACATGGTTTCATATTTAAACATCGTGTTCGGGGGACATAAAGGGTATATATGGTAATATATAAAGTATATTATAATAGTTGTTTGGTGTTCTAAACTAGATTTTATGGATTGTAAATAGTTTTTCGTCTAATCTAAAACAGCTGGGATGAAAAATAGTTATCCCATTCGGACTTGGTGTGTCAGTGTATGATCACCCTCTGGCCTCCGGCCATCGGGGTGATCTTACACTGACACACCGCGTCCTCATGGGATAACTATTACTTATCTGTCGATTTAAACTTTTGTAAGTTCTTTTGTCCCATCTAATAAATACAATAGCTATTGTTCTCTGTGTAGTTTATTCAATGAGACCTTTAAATTTCTTCCAATAGAAATCTATCACTCACTGATTAATTTACCTGAACAAAAAATTTAACTATCAATGATGAAAATACATGTACTAACACTAAATAAGGACTCACAAAACTGCATGTGAAAATGTATTTATTCAATAGCAATAATACATTTTCAATTTGTACAATATAAACACTGATTTAAAAATTAAAAGTTGATTTCTGATAAAATTTTCAATATTTTACCTATTAAAATTTTCTTTTTTTTGTGTGTTTGACAAATAAAAACTAGAAAATGATGATGTTTAAATTAAGGCCTTCATAAATGTGTTCTATAACTGAACAATCACAAAAAACATGCAAATTCATTGGAACAATACTAAAAATTGTGTCAGAAATAAACTTTTTTATAATTGAATCAGTGTTTATATTGAACAGCTTGAAAATATATCATTGATATTGAATAAATACAACATCACATGCAGTTTTGTGAGTTTTATACATGTATTTCAATCAACAAAGAAGATAATTTTTTGGTCAGGTAAATCAATCAATGAGTGAAAGATTTCTCCTAGAAGAAATTTAAAGGTCCCAGTAAATAAACTACACAGAGAACAATAGTTATTGTATTTATTCAATGGGACAATAGAACAGACAACAGTTTAAATCAACAGGTTACTTTTCAATTGAATTTGTGGAAAAGTATCATTTGGTTCGCAATAATAGCGCGTGCTGAGCGAAAAAGCTGCAACTTACAATTTGTTTGACTCGGCATGGTATCACATAAACGACTCCTAGCATTCTAGGCGAGCACGCTTCCACGAACCACAGAGGCTAGCACGCTTCCACGAACCACAGAGGCTAGCACGCTTCCACGACCCACAGAGGCGAGCACGCTTCCACGAACCACAGAGGCTAGCACGCTTCCACGAACCACAGAGGTGAGCACGCTTCCACGAACCACAGAGGCGAGCACGCTTCCACGAACCACAGAGGCGAGCACGCTTTCACGAACCACAGAGGCGAGCACGCTACCACGAACCTCAGAGGCTAGCACGCTTCCACGAACCACAGAGGCTAGCACGCTTCCACGAACCACTAAGGCTAGCACGCTTCAACGAACCACAGAGGCGAGCACGCTTCCACGAACCACAGAGGCGACCACGCTTCCACAAACTACAGCGGCGAGCACGCTACCACGAACCACAGAGGCTAGCACGCTATCACAAACCACAGAGGCGAGCACGCATCCACGAACCATAGAGGCGAGCATGCTATCAAGAACTACAGAGGCTAGCACGCTATCACGAACCACAGAGGCGAGCACGCTATCACGAACCACAGAGGCGAGCACGCTACCACGAACCACAGAGGCGAGCACGCTATAACGAACCACAGTGGCTAGCACGCTTCAACGAACCACACAGGCGAGCAAGCTATCAAGAACCACAGAGGCTAGCACGCTTCCACGAACCACAGAGGCGAGCATGCTTCCACGAACCACAGAGGCGAGCACGTTACCACGAACCACAGAGACGGTCTTCTCGTTTAAAAAAATCACAAAAAACACGAATTTACAAATGTAATGTTCATGCTATATCGATATTCATACATTTACTAATGTGGATTCGTTATTATTCTTGAGATACCTTTTTTCCAGGCATTTCGTGAGTACAAGTGAATCACGAATTTAAATGATCAACGAAGTAAACAAGTTTCAAAACAACGAAATCAAATGTCTACGAAAATACACCTTTACCGAAAATTGTTACCCACGAAAATAAATGAATCCGCAATCAAGACAAGAAATATAAAATATTTCAAAATGTTGCAATACTGGTAAACATACAAAATTCATGCAACTTATTTTTAAAAAGGTCGCAAAAAAATTTTCAAAATAGTAGAACATTCCAACAGAAATGTCGGTAACAAAAACTACGTTAAAAAAGAAACCATCCTTAGTACTAAAATAGCGAAGTCCAATTTGTTAGCCGGCATGACGTAAAAGCGACGAATCAAAGAATTCAACTTTATTTATAACTAATTTATGACAATGGTGTGTTTAAAAATTAAACCATTCCAGGCCCGTTTGTTTTCCACATTATTAATATTACCAATAATTAACAAATTCCGGGTCGAATCTGATACCGATACCATTAGTATATGTCACATGTAGTTTCTAGTCTCGATTATCCAGACGCCCATATGCATATATGTAGAGTCTGGATCCAATCGGTTCGAATGATTGTGATGCGAAGGCGTGTCCAAATATGCAAACACGCGAGCTGGATTTTTTCGGAAACTTTCATGACTTGAGGTTCCCTTGCGGTAACACTAGACAAAAACAAACGGAGGAAGTAGAAAGCATCATGCCTGGTGCCGGTTGGAAGTAACATCAAGAGCTACAGACTGTTATATATATCTTATATCTATACAACACACACTCCGATTTCTGCACGGAAAATAACGTTATATGCGTTACTTGTGCACAAAGTTTTGCAACTAGCGGGGGGGGGGGGCTAGGATGAAATTGTTAAAAAAAGGCAGGACAGGAGTTTAAGGTTCATGTGGACCCTTTGGCTAAAATGGCTGCATTTTCACCTCAAAATTTACTCTGAGTACAGACAAACCTGCGCATCTGGAAAAGTTTTAAGGCATAGCATGCCCTAGATAAATAAACTTCTAATGCATGGTATGTTTTAGAAAATTAAAAACTTAACTGGATTTAGCAGTACACTTTTTTTCGTCCCTGCAGAAGATGATAAAATTAACAAACAGTTGAGTTTCACTTGATATGGTCCACTCAGATACACAGTTTAAATCACCAATTATTGTCAGGTATCTATTGTCCATCTATTGTCCATGTCAATCAAAACAGTTCACTTCAATTATTACCTGTGGGGAAGTTCTCAAACCTCTTTCCCAACTTAGTTTATTTTGGCACCTTCTGGAGGAATGAAAAAAAGTGCACTGCAAAATCCGGTTAAGTTTTTAATTTTCTAAAACATAAAATATATTTGAATTTTATTTATCTAGGGCATGCTATGCCTTAAAACTTTTCCAGATGCACAGGTTTGTCTGTACTCAGAGTAAATTTTGAGGTGAAAATGCAGCCATTTTAGACGAAGGGTCCACATGAACCTTAATATGACTGAGTAAAAAAATAGAAGGATGAGACAATTTGCAAAATAAGGCAGGATGACAAATTATTTATGTTAAAATAGTCAGAATACCATAAAAAAATCAGGACCTAATAGAGTGAAAATTAAAAAGGCAGGACAGAAATTACAACTAAAAACACATGCTGCAGGACAAACTGGTAGCTTCTATAACCCAAAAAAACACTATTATTATTTTTAAATGTATATATTAATATGATTATTATTATTATTACAGTTGCTTGAATTTTAGTGATAAAAATATGAAGACAATTTTAAAAAATAGTGGTATAAATATTTTTAAAAAAATCATATTTTTATCACTAAAATTCAAGCGACTGTGTTATTATTTATGTACAAACATGTTTAAAATTATATAATTATGCATGTGTTAAATTTTTAAATCTAGGTCAATATACATGTATCTGAAGTAATGAGCATTTGTAAATATACTTTCAAATACTTCATTTATTAAAACTACCTTTAAAGAAATAAAAAAAACTGCATTATATAACTCAAGGACGTATATTGTTAGTTATACGTCCTTATATAACTCAAGTACATGCATTACTTTTTTGTAGATATGTCTGTTTGTTGTTGACACTCCCTTTACTTTAAAGTTACAATTTTGTCATTTAAAGATTTAATATTTATTCCAGATCAATTTTGCACATCTTGAAGAGAAATTAAAACAAACAATGGAATGTAGCAAAGTGGACATTATACTTGATGAGTGCTGAATATGAAGATTTTTTGAACAGCGGTATAATTACTGCATGTTGCTTTTTTTTGATAAATTTAATGATATGGTGAATCTATACTTGATTAAATGACTTTGAAATAACCAATAGAATTTCAATAACAACATGTAGTTCATTTCATTTACATTTGATTTAATCATTTATAATCAAATGTAATGTAACCAAGCACAGAATTCTCGAAAAACTGGTGGTCCAAAGATTTGACCACCAAACTTTTTAAAGGACTGTCACAACTTTGGTTATTATTTTGCAACAGAAATTATAGTGAGGACCAGCAGGTTTTCTTGTAGGACCACCAGGGAAAAAAAGATTTCGAGAACTCTACAAGCATGCATTCCACAACTCACTGGTTAGTGATATTTTGGTATTCTAGATCATAGAGAGTTGCAAAATATTTATGATGAACTTATCGATTAAAGAAATATTACCGTAGTAATTATGTAATTTTTTTTTTTTTTTTTGTTCCAACCACAACCATGTTTGACAATGAGTGAATATAATTTCATTTGTTTATAATTACCATCAATATTATGGCTGTGGGCTATTATTCATTATTTTGCCACCATGCAAATTAGAACAGAGACCTTATTTATTGTATACTTATTAAAATTAACCATTTATAATGATAAATTGTGACTCAAAATTCTACATTTTATAACTTGATTATTCCATTACTTGTATTTTTCTAGCACTTCTTTTTAACATGATGGAGTTGCAAAAAGTTACCACAGTTCTATGGACATGATGGACAACTAAAGGAGAATAGTTTCATTTGTCAAAGGACAACTAAAGGAGAATAATTTCATTTGTCAAAGAACAACTGAAGGAGAATAATTTCATTTGTCAAAGGACAGGAGACTTTCCATGCCCTAAGATTTTAAAAGCTGAAATTGTAAGGCTTTAAGAAATTAATGTATATACATATGGTCCTGTCTTAAGTTTCCATAAAAACATTTAATATAATTTAAGTCTTTAACTTTTTTATTTAGACATATTTTATGAAGAATATAATGTTTTAACTTTGTTCAATGCATTTTGATACACCTCTCTTTAATTGGAAGAAGTAAAGCACTTAATTTATACACAATAACCTTTTTGATTTTAGCTTTCATATGAATCTTTTTGAAGATCATTAAATGGAGCTAACACTGTTTGAAGAGATGTGGGGTCCTATGAGACAGCAACTCAACTGCAAAAATAACCAAAGGAACATATCAATATACAGTTTTAACAGTCTAAACCTAATGCTCCATATAGTCAAATTCCAAGCAATTAAAAGAGTAAAAGCATGCAGTAATTCTTCAAATACATAATGTGTGTCTCCAATTAATAAATCTGATCTTGTGTCATATCTTTTTAGGGAAAATAAGATGCAGAGAACCATTCATGAAGTATATATATGATACTGATATTTACAATGTTCTGCAGAGCTATAACTCCAGCCCTTTAGATTACATTACACTACTATTGCTTGCTAATTCTACCATCAATAGCAGGAGAAGAGAGGAGATTCAGCACTATGAATGATCTTTGCAATTTGCTGTGGATGATGACTAAATCAAATTTGGATGCATTGATGAAATTCATATAGCGATGACAGTTACTTCATTGAACAAGAAAAAGCTGTAAATATTTTCAATGGTGCAAAACAAACAAGTTATAATGAACTATAAAATGATTAAAACTGTGTTGAGTTTTCAATTTGTTTAAAAAGTGACAACATTTACCTAATGAAATATAATGAACACCAAAGATGCTATCATTTGAATTGATTGTAAAGTTTACATGTCTGACTGGCATGTTTTATCTGCCCTTGAACTCATGTTCATGGATCATAAGTCAGTGTAATGTTTCAAATGTTGGATCCTCTTCGAAGATACTATAAACAAAATGTCTATAAATGTCTATTTGGTTTATGGTATGATTGTAAGGTGTACTAGTCTGTCTAGCTTGGTTTATCTGACCTTGACCTCATTGTCATGGATCATTAGTAATATTTAACTTGTAATAAACTTTTATCTTTAAAGCTAATAATGTAAATCATTCAAGCAGGCAACACATTTCAGCTTGTTTTAGACATCAATAACTTGGTGAAACTTTCTTAATTTTTTTTTCAAATCTTTAACAGAATTTTTCTACAATCAAAAGAAAGTATTCAGTGCAAAATATTTTATTTAATGTTGCTGTATTTTTCTGATAGGGACTGATTTTTTGGCAATTTTTATATAAACATGATAAAGATTACATTCTTGGGTTTATGCATAAAAAAACAAGTCAAACAGTCCTAGAATGTAAAGAAACTTGGGCAGATTTGCTTAAAATTGATGTATGGAAGATATTGTTTGAAGCAAACTTTACATCTGCTTACCCTTCCGGAGCACCTGAGATCACCCCCAGTTTTTGGTGGGGTTCGTGTTGCTTAGTCTTTAGTTTTCTATGTTGTGTCATCTGTACTATTATTTGTCTGTTTGTCTTTTTATTTTTGGCCATGACGTTGTCAGTTTGTTTTCAATCTATGAGTTTGACTGTCCCTCTGGTATCTTTCGTCCCTCTTTTACAAATATATCTTTCCATTGTTCAGTCTTTTCATTTTTGCAGTGAACATTTACATACAATACAGTCTAGACTTACATTCTTTAGACATCAATAAGTTAGTTAATATAAAGATAAGAAGATGTGCTTATAATTGCCAATGAGACAACTTTCCACTAGAGAGCAAATGACATGGAAGTTAACAACTATATGTGACCATATGGCCTTTAACAATGAGCAAAACCTATATTGCATAATGAGTTATTAAAGGCCACAAAATGAGAAATGTAAAACAATTCCAGAGAGAAAACTAACAGCCTGATTTATGTAAAAAAAAAACAATTAACGAAATACAAATATGATATACAGCCACTGAATTACAGGCTCTTGACTTGGGACAGGCACATTCAGAATGTGGCGGGCTTAAACATGTTGGTCAGCGTCCAACCCTCCTTCTAACCTGAGACAGTGGTTTAACAGTACAATATATGAACAAACAATGAAAATCAGTTGATTAGGGCTGAACTCATATTGTATTTATACATCCCTACAACAAAAAAGAAACCAAGTACAGATATAATAGTACTGGCAGTTACTGACAGCTAGTTCAAAGCCAATAACAACTTGTAAAAAAATCTGTATCTAAGACGAGGATCAATAAGCACACATCCAACATCCAATGGATTAAGTGTAAAGACGTCATTAACAGTCTAATGTATGGCTGTGCAGCATCAAATATAACAACCATCTATAGGTACACATTAGAGGGGCGGATCCAGCCATTTTAAATAGGTGGGTTCCATATGTACCCATTAAAATGCATTGATCGGTCCAAAAAAAGAGGTCTGGATCTGCAACTGTATTAAGAGTGTCACCATATACATATTAACATTCTGACCAGTCTCAGTGCCCCATACTTCCATTCATTGATCTTCATCTATAAAAATGGCTGATAAATGACACTGGTGTGGTTTTCTTAATTGTTACAGTAACAATTTTCACTAATTTAATCTTTAGACTTATCAATGATGATATGACTTGCAGAATTTTTATGTATCGTGTCGATCTTAACGAGTTCAGCAATTTCCAACTGATTTCTACATTTTATTCTTACTTTGTGATGCTTCAGCACTTTTAGATAAGCTCTTATATATGTGTGTCTTGCAATCCACAGCACGATTATGTACGCCACTAGCTAATGAAAGCTAGGAACATATAATTCAGTAGTTGAAGGTTGCTGCCTGTAATTTTTTTCTCGTTTATTATTTTGTCATTCATTATGCCGTTGGGCTTTCCTTTTGAATTTCAAGTTATACATTTGGTTATGTCCTGCATGGTTTAGATGACTATACGGAAATGGTTTTGCTCCGATAGTTCAGTGAAGGCCGTATGGTGGACTACAATTGCTTTAACCCACGTCATTTCATAGGTAATTGGGGACAGGACAATTTTTTAGCCCCCGCCCTTTTTCCAATACCCGTAAATTTTTTCCCTAAAAATATCAAAATTTTCCCGTTTTTCTGTGTCATGAATATACTACAAATAACTTGTATTTGCTATTTACTATCAATTTCAAGTTTACTATCCACAGCAGTCATACTGATTTATTTTGATAAAATTGAGAATAGAAATGGGGAATGTGTCAAAGAGACAACAACCCGACCAAAGAGCATAAAACAGCCAAAGACCACCAATGTGTCTTGTTTATGACTTCCCTACTCTGTCTCCGTGGTCATCATTGACAAATTTCAGTTACTTTTTCTCTATGTTTTTTTTTTTTTTTTTTTGCAAAATAACTACACACATATAAAAACAAATGGACAGCGCTTTTTTCGTTTCAAAACCAGTGACACCGTCAACAAGAAGCAACAAAGGCATGTTTCTTGCGATGGGAAAGCCCCCTCGTTCTTTCCAAAGAAATAGACAGGGGTCTTTACCATCGCATGAAACTATTAGCCGTGTAAAACAGCGAGACAATGTTAGTATTAAAGATTTACAATATTGAGGAGTTATATTAAATCTTTATAATATATATGTTAATGTGAAAAATATGCATTTTCAAATGCAACCCACCTCCCCGGTCGGATTATTTTCACTTGATTATATACAAAAAAGCATCATGTTTAATTTGAGCAGTTATGTCCAATTTCTACCGTGTCAGGATAAGAGCAGAACTGAAAATTAAATAAAGGTATGATTAAATCTATGAGGTTTAACCAAGGATTTGTATAGTAACTATACAAATCCTTGGTTCAGCGTTCAAATTATACAAATCTAGAAATTTGAAAGAAACAAAATAAATAAATCAAATGTAAAACATTTAATATATGTTTGATACCAATAGTGATCAATCTGTTAATATATATAGTTGCTTGGTATACAGCTTGCAGTCTTCTAGAATATGAATAAACTATTTTTCGAGCAACAAATCAATCAACTTCCCAAACTAAAAAAAAAGAAAAATAGAAAAGGGGGAAGTAAAAGCACTCAGTTCAGTTGTTGTCAAGCTATTAAAACACAATATTCGCTATTGTATTGATCCTGATAAAAGATTCGTGTACCACCCCACCCCACGAAAACCCAATTTTGTTGATAGAATAAACAAAGCGTGTACGTAATTTTACATGAAGTGGCAATAGCGTATCTAGAAATTTTCACTGACTGCCTAAGAGGTGCCCGCTGCAGTCTGCTCTATCGATTCCCTAGTATAATCAGCCCATTTTTTCCCACAAAAAAAATCCGAGAGGGGTGTCAATAAGCTGAAATCAAAACTTGCTATTAATAAATAGTTCGATCATTCATCTTAATTTTTGATAAGGTGGAGAATGGATTCGAGATTTATAATGCTTTTTTTTATACCAAAAAACAAAATATATTATTTTTTAACCAAGATTTATATAGAAATATTTTTTAAATCCTTGTTTAAGATTCTTTTATATCTAAAAACAGGAGTTTTACACATTCATTGAAAATATTTTGTTCATCTCCCTTTTAAAACAAATCATTACTAAATGCATCTAAATAAAAGATAAAACTCTCGTCGTTAAAATTAAACAGCACGATACATGTGCTCTTCGACCATGTTGTTGTTATTGAAGTATGGGAGGAGTTTATTATTCAACATGTAAATGCTATCCAATCGCGTATTAGGAAAAAAACCTACAGATCGTAGTCGAGGCTCATGAATATAACATATATCTCAACAATTGCTACCAGACGTTATTGTTCGCAGTAAGAACGATAACTCTGGTGCAACGAGACTAATGTAGTTTCCTGTTGAAGTTACCTGTACCTTCTGTAAATCCCTCCTCTATCAGGAGAACCTGGAATTCTTTCAATTATTGTTTTATATTTATGTTACACTATAGTACACTATTTAACAAGTATGTTTTTTCCACCTCAATACCCACTTTTAATTTCGGTTAATTAGTTAAAAAAAATATTTTATAATAAGTTTATTGTAGTAAAAAACCAGAACGGATTCAAACAGAAATATTTTGAAAGCAGAGAAAACTGTGCACCTTACAATCAGCATGACTCTATCAGATAACAGTATGAATACTAAAAATCCAGGCTAAAAATAAGGCATAGGTACTTTTATTCAGTCACGGACCCGCGATGTCGCTGATGTGTTCTAGTTAAAACGTAAATATCTAATTACAGATAAACAATTAAGTGTAACAGTTGTTTTCCATTTAGCCACTTGTTAAAATAATCATTGATTTACATTTATTCTTCCGATCCTACCCAGTTCCAATCCAAAATACCTTGCGCTACTTATTTTTTTCTCCGTTCTTTCACAGGCGCTTGGGGGATGACACCCCCCCCCCCCCCCCCCCCTTTTCTAAAAAAGTTTTTTTTTTGTGTTTTCATTTTTTTAGTAAATATTCTGTGATATTTAAACTTATTTTCACTTATCTAATGTGTTCTTGTTCTTTTCCATACGACAATAATAGTAGTTTATAATTTTGACCCTCTATTATTATTGGAAAATCGTCAGTACAGTTATAGGACAAACCCCAAATTTCATCCTTAAAGTTAGGAGATATCAAATTGAACAATTTATTGGTGTTAAGGTTCATCAAAAGGAATTGAAAAATATGGCCGTGTTTACACCACAAAATCTACTCTGAGTACAGACAAACTGATGCATCT